GCAGTACCTCGGGAGATCCCCATTGCATATTTACTTTTGGGACTACGAGGCGGTACCTCGGGAGATCCCTTGTTGAGTATTTACTTTTGGGACTATGAGGCGGTACCTCGGGAGTGCCTCTGTTGTTTACCCCTATTTGCTGTATAGTTTCCTCTTTCTGTATTTCGCATTGTTAAATTCTCAGTCTTTCATTATATTACTATATCTTCTGCCTTAATTATTATATTCGAGTAGGGGTCTGACCTCACCTCGTCACCACTCTACCGAGGTTAGGCTTGGCACTTACTGGGTACCGTTGTGGTGTACTCATGCTACTCTTCTGTACATGTTTTGTTTGCAGACCCAGGTACCTCTTACCAGCCCCGCTATTAGTAGAGAGTCGTGTTGCTGCTACGGAGACTTCAAGGTATATCTGCCAGCGTCCGCAGACCTCGGAGTCCCCCTCTATCCTTTTATGTTGTTTCATCTTTATTTTCCGAGATACTGATTTATAGAGATAGTTAGAACAATTCCTTAGAGCTTGTGACTTGTGACTACCGGGTCTTTGGGAGTCGTTTATACTCGCAGTTATTGGTTTTACTTGTACATGTCGAGTTGCAGTTTTCCAGGTTAATCTATATATATACCTGTTGATGTTGAGGTTTAGTTGTTATTTTAGTTATTCTACAACTGTTAGGCTTACCTAATCTTAGAGACTAGGTGCCATCACGACTTCTTACGGAGGGAGATTTGGGTCATGACATATTGCCGAGGGAGCAAATTAGGTAAATCACAATTCAACCCTCTTTCTTGTGTCTGAGTGAACTCTAAAATAACAATCAGAGCATGTGTCTGTTGAAGGGTTTGCAGAAGAGAATATTATGGTAGATACTAAAATAGTTCAATAACCCGGTTCTTCGAATGCTGAGCCAGATAAATCCAGCTTTTTGATTGGACTGATATTGATGAGGAAGGAGAAAATGTGGGAGAAGTTGAAGTAAGAAAAAAAACCAATGAAAGTTGTGATGTTGAGGCTTTGGAAGAAATGATTTCTAAATTAAAATAAAAGGATGAGAGGGAGGGAAAACATCTGGTAGGGTGAAACATATGGAAAATAAGGTCGTGTTGATGCAAGGCTTTGTAATCCCTAAGTCTAAAACTCCAAATTCTAGAAGGGAGAGTAAGGCTGCACTTGAAAAGGACTTGGAGGAAAGCAAGAATAAGAAAAAGGAGAGACACAAGTTTCGTTTGACAGATGAGCCTGATGTGGGGGAAGTAGATCTGGTAAGTGACGAAGATGAGAAGAATGATGAGGAAGAAGAAGAAGAAGAAGAAGAAGAAGAAGAAGAAGAAGAAGAAGAAGAATAGGAGGAGAAAGTTCCTCTTCAGATAAAGGGAAAAGAGAAGGCTGGATCACCTTCAGCCATACCTAAGAAGAAGAAGGCCTCTAGAAAGACGAAGGTGGATGATTTTGAGGTAAAAGGAACCAGTTCCAAACGCAGAAAGAAAACTCCAAGATAAAAGTCCATTTTGGTTAGGGAGGACTAGTTTTCTATAGGTTGATAATGTTGAAGGTAAAGGTGATCGACCCATGCACTGTTGAAAATTTGGGATGAAGGAGCCTCTTGAGAAGCTTGAATTTCAAAAGTGGACAAACATATTCCTGTGCCCGCTACCATTTATGTATTTTGATGCAATTCATTTTTACAAAAACTTTAAAGTTCTTGAGGATGGCACTGTGAGTTTAGAGGTAAATGGAGTGGATCTAGATATTGATGCTAAAGTGGCTGGGGAAGATATTAAATGTGCAACTAGATGGATTTTACACATATATGAGACGTGAGTGGCCTAAGTTGGGTGAGAAGGAGGATTCCATGTACTTGACTTCCAAGTACACTCAAAAAAGGGATAAGACTGTCTCGAGGAAGATTAGAAAAGGGAAAATAGAACTGGTTCACAAGCTCCTATTTGAGTATGTGAACAAATGTGTGTTGCCTCGATAAGAAAGGAGGCATAAAGCCACATACTTAGACTTGATTGTAATTGAGGTATTTTACCAAAACAGGCCAATCAATTTGCCCTCATTGATGATCAAGCATATGGAAAAGGTAGTTGATCAAGAAAGAGGCATGCATGCTTTGCCTTATGGGTTCTAGTTGACTAGGGTGTTCGAGCACTTTAAGGTTCCTTTGAGAGGACCTAAAAATTGGACAAGAAGGATGTGTTTGATGAGGTAACCTTTAAGGAATGTGACTGTATAGCTAGACCACCGGGCAAAAAGAGAAAAAGTACAGTCACAAACCTTTTGGAGGAACTGGGTATTGCTAATAACAAAAAAAAAAGAAGATGATAGAGGATAGTAGGAAATTCAGGAGGAGATGAAGAAAGAGAAGGATGTTGTTGATGCTTGCTTTGACAGCTTCTTGGGCTTATTCATGGGGAACTCTCTTCCAGCAAAGAACCTGATCCTTCGTCCTCTTAGGTGTCCTACTCTAGCCCTACTTAGTCCCTAGTCATGTCACTTGTATGATCTGATTCATGATTTTTTTCCTCTTATTTTTTGTTTGTTTGGCAGCTTGACGGGTTCGTTCAACTGTCTTTTGGTTTGGGCCCTTTGGTCTTAATGTGTTATAATGATTAATCAATAAAATTTCCTCATTTTTGGGCGAAGTCCGTTGCAACTAAATTTGGATGATTTTATTGGATTAAACGTCTGAGCCATTGAAATTGTGGTCTTGTTAGTATAGCTCTAATGTCCATGAGTTTAATATTGCTAGATTCTCACGTTTGACTTTACTTACTCTTTATTTTTTTGATGATGCCAAAATGGGGGAGTTAAGGATGTGCACAAATATTGATCAGTAAATCTGGTTCTTAATCACTTAGACTAATAAAATTACTATATCAATGCATTTGTCTATTTGCAGGTTCTAAAAATAAATTATGCCTATCCATCTTTAGGGTTGCGATGAATGGAAAGTGAGTCCCTTAAACTTTTGCAAACATGGACAAAATGATAAAAAAGTGTTGCCAATGAAACTGGTCTTATGCTGAAGACTAGAAAAATTACACAAGTAGTATAGTGATTTGCACATGGGTTTGTCATCATCAAAAAGGGGAAATTTGTCACGATCCAAAACCACCATCCGGCCATGATGGTGCCTAAATTGCTTGATAGGCAAGCCGAGCATAACCAAAACGATTTACAAATACTGAATTAACAAAAATTGTATAAGTCTAAAACCAATTAACATAAACAACAGTGTTGATACATAACAAATCCCCCCCCCCCCCC